ACATGGAAAATAATCATGTTAAATAGGACCCGAACCTACTGGGTTGGATTGCATCATAAGTTCTATTTGTTTTTAATTGAATTACAGGTAACTGTTTTACAAATTTTTGAACACATTTGAAGTAGACGGATTAAAAAATCATCTCAACCCTTAAAATTCATTCTCTAGATCTTCGTTAAGACTATATAGACATTCAAGTATTATATAAACTTATTGGATTGGAAATTAGATCATGCATCTGTGGCTAGAAATTTATTTCACACCTTTCGATAATGTAATAAGAAGATGAAGATTATTAGAATTATGTGATATATTAACGCAATACATTCCGAACAATCTGCTCACACATATACTTGTTAAGAACATTTATATATAAAAATAAAAGGTCAACCAGACTGGAAATGGATTAAGAGGAGACAAGGGTAATAATAAGAGTAATAATAATAAATTTAAAACAACATATATAAGCGAACAATATTGTTTTCGATTAGATCTTCATCAGCCTTTACTCTAATATACAGTAATATTTATATGCATATACGAAATTATTAAACCAATCAAGGTAGTTTATGAGTCAATGATAACTATGACAACGATTACATAATAAGTGAAAAGTACAAATTGGTAGTGTGATAACACGTACATTAATTTTTGATATGAATAATAAAGGCTTAAGTCAATGTTACATAATCGGTAATAGGCCAATGATTAGAAAAATATAGACAGTGGGATAACATTTATAAGATTATAAGATGACGTAATAAAAAATGTTCAGATAATTGGACTTTAAAACGTATATTTGAGGGAAAATAAAATAAAATGGTAGGAGGGGGTGAAGAAAAATAATAAACGAAGAGAAAGTTTGAAAGAGAATGAATAAATTTATTTATTACTCAAGGCCAAGGGAGAGATAAGGGTGTTACAAATTTCTTCTGAACACAAAGACTTGGCTTGTTGGCTCGAATTCCTATAGCTTCTGCTATGTGTAAGAGACGAGATCGAACACCATGAGGGAAACTAGTGGAAATACGATAAATAAATTTAAATGACTTAATTCTGTCTACTACATGACCGCTATCGATCAAGTGTGATAGAACCGAGCTACCTATTGTCTTGACATTACCTTTGCCAAACCACGAAGTGAGGTGTTCACTAACTCTTTGGTTCAGTTGCCCAATGTAGCTTTCTCCACAGGAGCAATAATAATGTGAACACAATTCGAAACCTAATCACTCTGGATAATAAGTCAATATTATCAGGGTAGGTTTAGGGTGAGAACAAACTGTTTTTGAACACACAAAGGGGGTTTGAACTTTCTTATGACTAAGGCTTCAATAAACCTTAATGTACGCCCATTTACACTTTTATACAACACCACAAAAGCCGAGTTAAGATCAATCTTATGGCCCGACTTGATTATATTTTTAGCAATAGAGGATGATGGATGTTTATCCTCTGTTCTTATTGGGTCACTTGATTGTATTTGTTTCTGCAACCATTTTGGTACATGTTCACATACCCTAATTTTGAGATCACGATTGCTCCTCCTCTCTATGTATGTGTGACCACACACACATTTAAATTGGTAAACACAGTGAGATGTGACACAATCGTTTTCATGTCTTTTAGGTTTTGGATGAAGCATGCACCTTGTTCTTTCTTTGATAACGACCTTTTCTGCGCAATACGTTTTGTTTCAGTAAAAGGCTATTTGAATCACCTCTGAATGGTAAGGTGGTGTAGACAAGCTTTTTTTCTACCAAGGCTACAGTAGGTCTCACTGTACTATGGACTTTCCATCCATTTATGAATTTCAGAGGATAGCCATTTTCCATTAATGTTTTATTTAGCAACTTAACATCATCATCAATGGCATCATTTGTACAAATAAGATCAAGCCTGTTGAAAAGGCACCTTATCACAACACGTTTGTAATGCACGGGAAAATAACTATAATAACTAAGGTATTGACCTGTCCACGTTGGTTTTCTAAAAATGGATCGTTTGACTCAGCCATCTTGTCGTCTACTCAGAAGTATATCTAGGAAGGGAAGCTGATCGTTCTTCTCCTCTTCACAAGAGAGACTGATATGGTTTTGGAGAGTGTTAAATTTATTTAATAAACAGTACATATCCTCATTTCTTCCATAAACAACTAAGATATCGTCTACATATCTCTTATAAAGTGACATGTTTTCGATTAGGTCATCAGCCAGATTTTCAACATGTGCCATGAACACATCTGCTAATAATGGTCCTGGCGGACTACCCATAGCAATACCATCAATCTGACGAAAGTATTCACCTTCAAAAGTGAAATGAACTTTGTCAGTACATAATAATAGTAAATCTCTAAAAAATTTTGAAGGGACACGTAATTTAAGACTGTTTAAAGATATGTAAACACATAATATATCAATAGATTTTTCAAAGGTATTTTTGTGAACAAGGAATTCACATCAAATGAACACACTGTTATTTCCGTGATATTAATATCACTTAAATGATCGACCAGTTTAAAAGAATACTTACATAGACGTCTTCGGATAGGGTCCAACAATTTTGTTAGCCATTTAGCTAGGTTATGTGTAGGTGATCTGTACATTGATAAAATGGAACGTAAAGGAATGTTTGGTTTGTGAATTTTAGGTAGTCCATATAAATGAAGGTACTCGGAAGCCGAAGGTTTTAGAAAATTAAATTCCTCTTTATTAATAATATTCGTGTGTTTCAGTTTTCTAGGTTTGAATTTATACTTCACTTTAGTTTGCCAATACCTCCAAATTCAACATCAGGCATAAATTTACTTTCATCACTGAGGATGGATAACTTCTTACTTTAATATTCACATTTATTCATGATAACTACGCCTGATCCTTTATCAGGTTTCAACAAGACACTATCAAGGTTTGTTGGTAGTTCATTTAATGATTTAAAGTTCTCAGAAGTTAATATGCTTCTCTGCTTTGGTCCAGCATTGTGAAATTTGTGTGCTATATCCACTAATTTCGCTTTACACCAACTATGATTATTAAAAGATGTAGGGGCTAAAGTACTCAGTTGATCGTATAGATTTTCAAATTGGGCATTTATTTCTAATTCAGACATTTGCGTTATAGGGACCGAGAAATTAATACCAAGAGAAAGTGCTTCCTTTTCATTGGCAGATAATACAATGGAAGATAAATTAGTGACATACTTATCAGGATTAACTGGAAATAAATTAACATAATTAGTAATAATACAAGATTTTCGGGCTTTTTGCAGATCCTTTACTTTGTTTTCAAAATGACCATACTGCAAAAGTTGATGAATTTAATATGGCAGATTACAGATATTTCACACCACTAAATATCTACAATATTTAGTCCTTGTCATGTAAATATCTAAATTTATGATAAGCCAGTAGAAAAGTTATTGGAGGCAACTTTCATACAAGTACAATTGGAAGAAACTGAAACCAAACTGCGAAATGAAAAACAAAGACTTTCTGAATGGGTAGAAGCATTTATCTGATAAGAGCAAAATGTATGGGTCAGATTGTTTGTGTGGGGTTCACGCTACTGAATGATAGTAAATAGTGTAACGTGAAATAAAAAATAGCCTTTTTAAAAGCATGTTGGAAATAGATTTAAAATGGCTAACTATATGCGATTCAAAAAAATCAAAAGATTAGAATACTTTAATAGAATCCGTATATATATACGATCAGAAAACGTACTGGAGCTTCGAAGTAGTTAATGTGAACCAAATCTTTATAAAAAGAGTACTTTACAACGTTGTAATTCAATTTAGAGTCTAAACATAGTGTATAAATCTATCGAGTGTGGACAACGAGGTTGAAGATGACTATTAGCATGTGGTATTCTTGTGATAGCATTGGAAAGCATAATGGATGAGCTGTTTAAATAATAGAAGGGACATGTGGCACTTTAAGTTTTGACCTGTTGAGAATCATGAAAACTCAAATTCGCTGAAAAAAACAAAGGCGTAAGTTCGAAAAACTAACCTTCTACTGTTATTTTTTACGCACTCTTTATATTCTCTGACGATTATCGAGATAAACGTTTAATCAAACATGACTGATAAATTCTACTGAATAAGTGTTTCGGCCACTGATTTTCCTCGCCGATTTATGTATAATTATTGAGGTCAGTCTGCATTTCAGAATTTGCAAAATATGTGGTTACATGCCGCTTACTTTAACTTTTTTTATTTATCGGTTTACCATTTGGAAATTAAAGGTGCTAAATAAAAAAATTATCGTTTGTTGTAAACCTTGATAGATATTTTAAACGTTTTCACTACTTGTTGCTTGGCAAGGCTTTATTTAGGCATCTCATGCTGCATTTGTGGACCTTACATCTGAATACCATTATTTGGGACGCAATGTATGAAACTCTAATTTTGACAAGATACACGATAAGGGTATCAATATATGTAGACAAAACAAGTCCAAACGTCTTTAATTCCTGACTTATGGTGGAGGTAGAATAAAAAAAGCGGTAGGAAAGAGTGGAAACGGATCAATGACAGTGAATCGCCAAACAGTTTAGTAGTGGGAAATGTTAGCTTAAATAACTGAGGACAAAGTACATGAATTTTTTTGAGCGCCCTGTTTTAGGAATATTTTTTAAGTAATGATCCATTTAATTGTTGGTGAATAAATTCCAAAGTCTTGAATTACTGAGACAGTTTGCTGTATATATGACATTACTAAAGTGACGTTAGTTTCATTTCGATCGTCAATATATACTCGAATTTTGTCCGAACAAAGACGTATGTGGAAACCGTCGAAGTTTTACTAAAATCGTATGTTCTCAGAGTAAAGCAAATAAGCATTGAAATAAAACAAGAATCTACGATATTGATTAATACGTCATCACACAATAAAATTAGTACGAAACACCTTCTGATAGTTGTCTATAAAAGTCCATTTTTCGGAAGTTGATATGAAAACAGGTAAACATTATCAAAGCATTCCGCAAACCAAAGCAATTATATATTAGTAATTTTCTATCTCCGAATCTGTGTTCTGCATTAATTTCTAGTTTTCCGGAACAACAAAACCTGCTGAGTCATTTGGATGTTGCATGATTTTCTATTTTCACATCTGTGTACCAATGTACCTTTGTTTAGAATGAATAACATATAGCTACCAGAAGATACTGTTCAATATAAGCATTTAAAGTATTTCACATATGCATGCGCTATTTTGCGTGGCCGACCAATATCATAAAAGGGCTACCGAATTTGATATTTCAACTTAACGGTTTTCTAAAAAAATAGAATTGAAGGGTAGACATTAAAAACGGGAAACTAAAAATCTGCTTTATTTCTTAAGTTAAGAAAATCCATATATCTTAGTTGGTTATAAAATACATCAAAGGTAAAGGGAAGGATGCAGCCATATTAAGTGATATATTTTTGAAGATAACAAGTTTGATAGAGAAATGTTCAACATGATATAACTACAGAATATTAGACAGCAATAATAACTTTAAAACTTGGACAACCTAATGCAGAAATGTGACAAATGAAAGTTTAGAAGAGGATCTTGAATGTCTCATCGAAAATTGCCATCTTTCCGTTATTGTTCTAATATGACTATCACTTCCTTCCTAACTGTTGGATTCTTTACTTTGTTCACATTAATAAACTTTATCGATTTCATGTCACATTCACTGTCATTACTCGAATCAACTGATTAAAATAGTATATTTGTAGTAAATTCTCAAGTTGAAAACATTCAATGATAAATTTGGAAAACAAAATATCTGAAAATGTTTTTTTCTTAAAATTTCATTTTGAAATTACATATGGAATCTACAAAATTCAGAATTTAGATAAAACATAAATAAATAGATTTGCATAAATATTGATCTCATTAAAAATTAGTTTAGCATAAAAGTATTCGTAAAATAAATAAATGAATAAATATTCTTTGAATACAATCATTGTTGCTATGCATTTTCTTTTATTAAATAACCAATAAATTCAGCTGGAGGTTCATCCATTGAATGTTCAATTCTTTCAATTTTTCCAGTTGTTAATCGAATTAATTTATGTCTAAATAAAAAGTAGTTTGTATAATACATCATATTCAATTGTGAAATTTATGTGTCATATAGGAAATAGTTTATAAGTGTATTAAATGTTTCATAATTACACATTCCGTTACGTTTATACAATGAACATAATATTTTACTTCATTTAATTTGTCTATTGTAAATGGAATCATTCAATGAAAATAATTTTCCTAAAGATTATTTATGAGATTTATCTGAATATCATTAAAAAGTCACTAACTTTAGGAATGTTTATTAAATTCCATTATGTTTAGAAGATTAGAACGATGTGGAAACTTTTAGTTATTTAGTTATAATGTAGTGAATCTACTAAAAATATTAAAAAAAAAACGGAGTCAAACTAGTTCAAGTTCCACGAAGACTATCTATTTCCTGTAGGTTAAAGGTAGACGATATCGATGAATAGTAACTAGCATGAAACCTTAGTTCAAGATGCCCTGCAAACTATTTTCAACCAAATGATAACAAATGAAGAAAAAAGTTAGAATTTATAAAACTTAACGGTTTGGTTGGTTGGTAAAGTTTTAATTGATCTTAAAATGTCTTAATCATCTTTCATGCATTAACATTGATATATTGGATTGATGTTTGCAACGGGAACAGTTCAGGTTGATATAATGGATTGATATTTTACAAATTAACGATTTGCTATATGGTTTTTCTATTTTATCAAGTAGCTCTGTAATTTTGTGCTAAATACATTCGGTTGTCCCCACTCGTGTTCTGTTCACTACAATATTTGATGCATAATGATAATATAAAACTTAAAATGTGAACCAATGATTTTCATGGGAGGTGTGTATTAGGTAAACGAGTAACTGCTTATTCTGTAATACATACAAACTAAATAGATGTTTTATGTCGTTAGAACACTATTTTTCTATTGAACAAGTTTATTTTATGCTATATATATTTTTTTACTTAAACACTATTTTTAGTGCGATATTTTGGTAATTGACATCACTATGATTAATGCCATTTGGAAGTGTGCTTAAAATATTGAAAGTCTTAAAAGTGATACATTTGACCTGAAACTTGACCGGAGCGTTTTTCACTTTGTTTATACAAACATTTTTGAATAATGTCAAGATTATCTTCTAAATATTAACAGAAATCTAAAGTAAATGATCAATTTATTACCTTTTGCAAATATCATTGACAAAAGCATCATGCTATCAATTAGTTGAGTCTGATTGTAATAATATCCAATTCCATCAAATATTTAGTCATTATCTACATACTTTTGAAGGAAGGAAATTTTATTATAGAGAATTATCAACTACGTAATCAGACATTATAGTGACATTGGATCTTACATGAAATTAACCAAAAAGATGCTTTAATTTATTAACTGTAAAATGATAATTATACGACAAACATCTATAAAATAATCAATATATTCTTAATCAAACCTACTTTTTAATTGACTTGCAGTATAATAGTCGAAGATGTTCAAGTTTTTTACAACCTTTCAGTAAAAAACTTAATGATGTTTCCCTACAAATGTATAAATGTTTTTATATATATGTTAAATAAAAGAGTTTCGGAAAATTGCTAACAGAAAGTCGATTTTTACGGTATTTATAATCTTTGGTTTGGTAAAATATAGGTATAATTGCACAAAGTTATAAATAAGAAGAGTATAAATAATTACATCATTTTAAGATATTCATGACTTTTATTTCCTTGATCAATGTTTAGAGGTAGAATTATTCTTCATCAAAGATACTGGTTATTGAAATAGGGTTAACAGTTAAAAATAAAGAGCCAGTTCTCCCTCTCGAAACGCTCTCACATGGCCACGTGCATACAGCCACTACCAACGAAGTCCTACTCACTGCCTTCTCATGGAGGGGCCGATTTCTGCGAAATTGAGAAAGCAAAAAGCGAACGTCCAGCGCTTTAACCAGGTTAGTGGATACAGATGATCCACCTACACGAGTTGGTAAGCTCTGTTTCAAAACCAACGGTACACATGAGCTCCAGGATCCTGAAGTAACAAATGGTGTATGAACTAATTATTGGCCACCGACTACCTTGTGACCGCATCTCCTTACGTCTCCCCACTGCTTTGTGGATTAGACCATTAGGTGAAATGCTTGGGGTGTGACCCCTCAAGAAAGCCAACTGTTTCGATCTGGGTGCCCGGACAGTATCTCAGGCCTTACACAAATCGAATGATTTATGTGGTGCATATCTATTTGGTGCTCTCCTGTACTAATGTTTACGTGTTTAAATAGATAAATCAAGTTATTAGGACGTTCGTTGTTCAGATGTTTTTAACGTCAAAATCTTGTCTTATAGATAATAAAATGATGAAAACTATTAACAAAATGAGTAAACATAGTAAATTCTCAAGTTATTCAGCGACCTTGAAACTTAATTAAGCCACACATTAATTGTGCTAAAAATTATCAAACATTGTTTTAAACATGTGTAAAAATATATTTAGCAGAGTTGCATATATCAATATTTTTTAAACAAGTTGTTTTAAACTTACGTGATCAATTCACAACCTGACAAATCAAGAAACTTTAGATAATGACATACTCCGGAAATATATTGTACAGCCATATCTGTCAGCTTTAAGAGAGATATAGTTAATGAAAAAAAAGTAACAATGAACGGATACTTACCAGCTTACACCCAGCTAAATTAATACTGGTAAGGAAATGACAACAAAATGCTAGTGTTTTAATTCCATTGTTTGTCAAATTCTAAATGGTTTATAAAAATTGCAATTTTAGAACATCATTTAAAACCAAACTTAATTTACGTGACAAAATGATAAATCAATAAATTCCAAGTTTATACCAAGATGTGCAAACTTTTGCAATCCTAAATCAGTGATGGCGGTACATTTAGACACTTTCAGTTCATGTAATTTAGGCAGTGATCCAAGAGCCGACAAACCCTGTAAGAAAGCGAAAATAAGGTTGATTGATGAGATATACCGAAATCCAAGGCTCTTATAATTAATGGATAAAAGAAGTATTCTAAACAAATAACTAAATACGGTTCACTAACATTAGCTATTTAATTAACACTGATTTTTCTGCTAGAATGGAACGCAACGAACTGATGAAGAAATCAATTTAGTAGTCTACTTTGCCTTTAAGTCACAGTCTGGAGAGTCATTTGAAGACGAGAGTGAAACCAAAACCCTATTGGCCGATCAGGTTAGTAAATTATCTGGTAGATAAAAAAACGATTACTGAAAGGTTAGTATTGTGACGACTCCATATCATGCTTTTTTTAACAAAAATCAGCGAATTAGTTATGCCTTTTAAACAGACCACTGAAGTTACTCATTGCGAAACTTCCTAATTAACATAGAGGTAACCACGTCGATTTGATTGATGAGGGATGGATTATTATGTCAAGAAGATATAGAATGTGCCGTCAATGTTTAATAATCTGACGTATCGTGATTAAAGAAAAGTTAAAATTTCCGTCCAAGTTCAAACTTACTCGATCACCAAGTTTAGTAGAATTTAAATTTATCTGCCATAACTTTTGTAGCTGACCTAGGAGTTCGAAGGCTCCATCAGAAATCAAGGGGCATGATGCCAAACTCAAGTAAGCTAAATTAAGTAGTCTAAAATAAAAAAATCAAAGTTTATTTATGTAAAATGCAAATTACATTAAAAATTCCACTTTACGTATTAAAGTAGTGTAGTTAAACCTCATGTTATTAATACAAACATAAGTAGTTGATAATGTAAGCAGCATCACTACTCACCGTGCACTCATTAAATGAATCGCTTTATCAGTTAATTTGTCACATCTTGCTAAGTACAGTTCTTTTAAATTATCCGCGTATGCCCCATCAGTTAATAATTTTATACCTTGATCTGTAAGACTTTCACATCCACTTAACTTTAAAACAGTTAAATGCGGCAAAGGTATTAAATGTTGAAGCAGGATATCATTCATCTAGAAGCAACAATGAATGAAAAAACCAAGTAAGTAGTACATAAATTTGTGCATATATACTTTCTATTTTATATTTATAGAAAACAAACTGAAGCTAGTGAAACGTCTGAGTAGAACAGGAGTAAGAATGCGAAATAACATTATAGCATTAAGGTTTCTTGAAAAGTGTACTTTCGAAACTTTAAGAAATTTCAGATGTTTCCAATTACTGACTAATAAGATTTCAAGGATTCTAATTTTACTGATTATAAATTTCTACACGATTGATATAAAAGATTAGCCATATCTCTTAAAGTATTGACATTTCAGATGACACTGAAAGTGAAAGTTCATTGTCAGACTTGCCCTGAACTTATGTCCTGAAACTAAATCAGTGCATCATTTGTGGTAACTTGTACGATTTTTTTTGTTGTAATCCACTCATTCTTAGGCAAATACTTTTTTGATGCTGCCTTCCAAAATCTGTTATTTGAATTTTTATTTTTGTACACAATTCTAAACAGTTCATAGGGTCAGTTGATTTAAAGAGAGTAGGAAAATTATATATACTAGCCGAGTATATTTCATCAGACGTAACTCACCTTTGGACAATCAACGAATGAAATTTCTAGTAAATTTAAACTACCATTTTCAAGGAATCCAGAATTCAGTTTCGACAAACGATGAGCTTTACTTTTAGAATGTCTTCTTGATACATTATCATTTGGTACAATATTATTCAATCCAGATCCATCTATTGAACTCATATTTGAAACAAGGAGTCTATTTAAATTTTTCCCACATACTGATTGTAGACCACAATCCGTAATTAAACAACTAATAGTTGAATTTGAATTATTTAGAGTTGAATCAGCATGTTTATGAATTAAACCAATAGATGTGATTGGTCTATTTTGCTTATTTTTTATTTGTACAGCACCATCGACTGGAGTTGATTTTTCATGGAAAAGACAAGTTTTAGAAAGATAATTTAAACCGGATATAATTACGTTTTGATTATTGACCATTTCTAATGTGTGTATTACTGAACAGTTGGATCCAAGAACCTTCAAAGAGAGGGAAATTAAATAGTCTAAATGCTTTGTGGTCGAATCACTATAATGGTATTATACATTGACTACCCTGTCAATCGGTTTACTTTACATTCTGACACTAAACTCTACATTTTCAGCCAACTCATCATAATACTTTAGTTATTCTGTGTTTTTCCTTTTTCACCCATAACTGTTTGTTTGAACTATTTATGTATCAACCCATGGGAACTAATTTCTTATTGGTAGGAATTGCATTTCGGTGTACCGTTTTCTTTTTTCTCTTGGACCAATCCAAAACGTAGTTCTACATGTCCAGCTGATAGAATATTATGAAATCAATGAAATCTGTAAATTTTAATCAAATACAATTTTATGAGTCTTTTCACAGTAATTATGTCACTTCACATGTCTACGTCAAAACATGTGGCTGATAATGCTATTTATAGAAACCTGTTGGTTCTGGGTTTACTACTAAACAAGAGTTTGTCAAACAACTTAGACTTTTTGGGGTTGAAACTCGGCCATTCAATTTTCGGTGATGGCTATCGTAAAGAAAATGATTTTTACATTGAATGCGTATGCAAAATAAAAAGTCATCGAATGTGGCAAATCGTTTTGTCACCAAGAAAGTATGTTTCCCCATACCTACCCTGTATCTAATGTCTTGGGCAGACATTTGAATGAGAATATGAGTCCTTCGTTCATGTTCTGAAGGTAGAGTGGTTGTTTACATGCATTAGACAGTTAGTAAGTCATAACTTTGAGTTGCTGTGTGTTATTTACTAGAGAAACCCGAAAACACAAACAAGGAACATTCACTCTTTAATATTGTCTGGAGATATCACCTTTGTCGTGATTATTGGGACGACTTCGTAAAGCACAGAGAAGCCCTCAGAAGCCTTAAAGGAGCAGAAAAGAATCCATCCAGTCAGAACCTGCTATAGCCTTCTAAAATATCAACGTGGCATGCTACGACTGAACGCTGGAATAACTTGTCTCCTTGCCGGCCGGTTGAATTATAGTGATGTTATAGTAAATACTAATAACTATAAATATCCATGTTCTTCTGTGCATTTTGGATTCTTACCGAATAATCACTTTAATTGCTTCTTCCATCTTCTGATTTGCGACTGTGGAGTTCTACACATTCGAGTGACGTTGATTGTATACCGTATTCTGCCATAATCAAGTAGGGGGCATAACAGTAATGTACTTCGATATATAAGTTCAACAAATCTCAGACAGTTTTATCATATTTATTTATTAAAGCCTTTTGTACAGCTCAAATACGTTTGGTTAATTCACCTTGTTTTGCAAGCTAAAATTATAATAAAATTATCTAGCAGAAACGTGATGATCCAACTAGTGAAATGTCCTGAAGAGATAATACAGAGTTGATTATTCATACTTACATTAAGATCAGTATCTGAAATCCATGGGAGATCGTTCAGTATCCAATGTTCCACTTGTGTCACACTTTTAATAATTATTTGTAAACCAGCCGACTCAATCTGAAGTTATTAGGTTCAAATAAAAAAAGCCATTCTCATCTTGAGTAATAGATACATATTTATAAATGATATGAATTACGGTACAAAATACTACGATTTATTTTCATTGAGTACCATGAAGAAGATATTTTTCAAAATACACATCTTGAATAATTACCAACAAAATACTTAGAATTTGATTTCATATTCATACAAAGTGTACCAGTACACTTTTCCGTTAAATACTATATATGTGCACATAAAGAATCAAACAGTATCTGATTTGGAATAAATATAATGAAGTGAAACATACTAAGCAGATTTTAATACTCACTTTTCTTTTCACCTTGAATATTTTATTAACATGAAAAAGTCAGAATAAGTGTTGTTCAAAATAATTTCAAAGAAATGATACAATACAGAAAGAATGTTGCACAACAGAACCTTATTTTCGAAGATATTTAATAGTAAATATATATAAAGTAATTGCTCCCAACCATCTGTCATAAGTTGTGGTGATATTAAATTCCATTTAGAAAAAACTATGACGTTGATTATAAAAATATCACATGGACCTGTTAAAGGTTTTGGATGCAAGATTGACGTTTGTGATTTGCTATAGTGAAACATAATAATTATTGGTAACCTACTAACTTGTTGATAAAGAAAACATCTTGTAAATGACTCAGGAATTTACGACTAAAATACAGTTATTCATAGAAGGTAATTTATGTTTTACAGTTTAAAAGATTAGTTATTTTGTACATTTCATATGTTAGCTGATAAATCTAAACAATCAACAGACGAAATATGATCCAGACAATGAGGATCAGCATGGACCATTATTCGACTGTATGGCCCACATATAACAAAGATGTTTATATCTGTACAACTAAAAACTGAAACTGATAAAGTAAGATCACAGATAAATGAAAATACGTTTTTTTAAAAAAAACATTTATCAATATTAAAGAGAATACATAGGTAGATTTATAAAATAGATCATGTTTTTAAGTGTTTCATAGACCATCATTAACTATATTCAAAATACGATGAGACTAGAATTTGTGGACGACCTTTGAGTAACGCTAAACTGAACTTAAGAGTGTCCACCTAATAACTAGGACAATTGAGGGTTATAAACCAGTGTAAGGAATTAGAATTAGGATTTACATTTGATGGTTAATGTTAAGAATTAGATTCACGGATTTCATTACGAACCGTCCAAACTCTATTTAAACAAATGGATGAGTGAATTTCGCGCCAAAATCCAAGACCTGTTATGTTATACCTGATTGGTTCGTCCATAAATCATAGTCTCGCTCAAAATACAATTAATAATGAATTTAGTAAACGTGAATTCTTTATTTGATTAAGGAAATGCTTTCTGAATTATATCATATAACGTTAGATTAAATAGTTGTTCTGAATTTTTCAATACACTTGAAATTTTTCTCTCATAATGTCAGTTAACAGTTTTGAAGTAGAAGAACTATACTCTCATATATAAACATAAACGTGTGTGCTAAACGCTATCGAGTTTGAATGCCGCCTGAAATCAAGTTATGTGGTGTTTAAATAAGATATTGCATTATTCAATGAATTTATTGCTGGTCATATATGACTGTTGCCAGAGATGAACACGGTATTTTTGATCCACAAGATAATCATGAAAAGCAGGTTTTAGAAAAACATTAAGTAACACGTCTTAGAATCACTCAAATTGTCACTCAAATATTCGTTTTACGTATTTATCTAAAAAACAATGTGCAGATATCTTATTCTTTTATTTTGAGTTATATATTTCCAATTTTACTATACTCTTACTACCTCTACAACTCCGAGATTTGGATAAAGACAACTGCATCTCTGTGCTAATGTGATATGGCAACTCGAACTGATATACGTACATACGAAGTTTTATGTTGTTACTGACTGAATTTTACTATCAATGGTGCTAATGTAATTTTAAATTCTTTGTTTTACACCTGATTGATTTTGTTTTAGTGTTTAAAAGCGAAAAAAATGGTGAATTGAACGGTCTTACATTCTTGCTAGATTAAATGCTATTTATAATTATAACTATATAAAACTCTATTATCTATGTAAAGAAAACGAATTCTTAAATTGATATATACCAGAAAAAAAATTAGAAATTCTTACGTAAATACATCCAGATAAATCCAAATAAATTAATGACTTGAAACTTTCTAATTGATTGAAATAAGTTGAGCAAAGTTGTTTTAATCGTGTACAATAGGCCAAACTCAAATATTGTAACATTTTTGTATTGCTTAATTTAAAAGATTATTTTCATGAGGTTGTACATTTAATGTAAAAAAACAAAACAAAACAACATGAGTATATTTATTACAGAACAGATATTGAAAGTATATTGAATTTACATGTTTGAATAGAATAATAATAATTTAATTTAATCTATTTAGTTTTATATCAAATAGATTGGATGCTTATTTACAAGTATGTATCCGTGCAACAATGTGTTTGTCAACATATCAAAATATATGAAATACATTGTTTAAATATAATCTAGATTATAGCTAATTATATAGTCTGAAATATAAGATATCATATCTTAATCTTTATTGAAATAAAACTAATTACAATGTCATTTAGAGAAATGTTAACTACCAGATTGATGGGAACTATTAAGTTCGTTTAAATACCAAAGCGATTTCTGTTTATCTATAAGTTATCACTCTAGAAACAATCAAAATCACATGTTGATAAGATTAACAAGTTTTTTTTATTAACTTATATATTTAACGAAGAACCAAACCTGGGAGCACTGGACAGCCGTTTCGTCCTATTGTGGGACTTCTCACCAGTGCGATTTCACGATCCCGCATCGCGGGATTTGAACCCAGGAAGCAGGATCTCAACTATTGAAATTCCTACAATCTACACAAAACTCCTTCTGATACTAATCAACATATGTTCACTAGGGACTGGATTCAAGAGGTATATCCTGGAGTTCTAGTGAGAAGCAGTAACTAGTGGAGTTCAACCGGGTCTGTTGTGAGATATTAACTCATTGAATACAGTAGTGGATGTGTCGTTTAGTTTCGTGGATTGGTTGAAGTTAAACACTAACACCGTTGGATGCCGTCCAAATCAGTAGTCTAGTGGTTAGGCGCTCGCGAGCGAAACTGATAAGTCCTGGGTTCGAATCTTGTGAGGCGGGACCGTGGATGCGCACTGCTGAAAAGTCCCACAACAGGACAAAACGGCCATCCGGTGCTTCCAGCTTTTTCTTGATGGTGTAGCGTCGATTGGCTTATGACCTCAACTATTGAGATTGTGACAATCTCCACAAAGCCCCTTCTGATACGAACTTTTAAATTTAACCATGGATATTTGAAATTTTTATGCCTTTTGGTGCTTGCTGTTGTAACCGAATAAAATGTCGAGGTTCAAACTTTAGTTTTCATTCAAATTTATCTTGATTTGATGAGGAATATATGTCTAAATATGTACAAATATTAAAACACATTGTTATCTTTATTAGGTTCGAAACACAATTGTAAGTTTAAAGTAAAATTATATACTCACATCGCTATGTGACGAACTGAATCATCAGTAATTTGAGTATATGATAAATTCAAGTAAAGAAGTAAACTACATTCAACAGTTATTATACGAACTGCATCATCCTAAAGAGGATAAAAAGAAAATAAAAATACTGTATTCAAGATATCGAAAACATACATCGTTTTAGTATTTTAAGATGAATGATATTCTTAATAATTCGTCATTTCACTTGGAATTACGTAAACAACTTATGTTCACGATCTATAAACAGTGAAATGATTATGTTGTATATCAGAAAAGGAGGGAAAAACTGATCAAACTGTTCAACTGTAAGGACAATTTAACTTGCACGTTAAGACATGTGGTTAAACATATTATGGTGAGATTCGTAAAGAATAGAAAAAAAATTTTTTTTATCTTCTTTAATTCGATTATTACTGACTTGTAGACTAACAATTCGTAAATAAACACTTAAGTTTAAAGTCAAAAGAATGTATTTGAGACTTTGAAAATACCATATCTTCCTAATGAGGTATTCCATATTTGTCGAATAATGGAATTCCACAAAAAAAAAGATAAAAAGTTAGATTATTAATTTGTTAGTACATTGATGTACATATTATTTCATCGGTTGACAAAATAAAAATTGGCTGCAATTAACAATATTTAAAATTGTCACACTTAACTTTTAAACAAAAAAAACAGAGCTAAAAAGATCCACATTAATATAGTAGTACCATTGATAATGAAAAAATAAAGAGAAGTCAGTTAGAAAATTGAGGTAGGTTTAAATAATATTGAAATGGACGTTTTAGAAAAAGATGCAAAGTGAATGGATCGAGTTAAACTATGTTATCTGAGTTATTTCTCCAATTTTTCAGTCATGACTATCATGTGAACGATTAGCAGTATTTACACTTCTCAAGGCATTAAAATAACCAATTTTTTGTATGAACACTATTTAGCATGCTTTAAAACGACTTGTAGGTTGGTCAGCTTTCGATATTACGTTTTTATTATTTAAAATTTTATCATGTACAGAGTTGAATATAAACTGTATTTTCTAACTGTGATTGAATTAGTACAGAACCATAAAATATACATATGAAGAGTTTTACAGAATAACAGAACTATGTTCCAAAAAAAAACATTTCAAGCATTAGTTCTATAAAAATACATGTTTTCAGCTTCACATACTGTTATGTCCCGACAAGAATAATGAATGGTAACTTTTGGGATCTATTGATGAACCAATACTAAACGTATATTTCTATTGTATAATTATTAAGTAACTAAACTATACATATTCATATTCCTCTTATTATAAGCTTTATTTTGACCCATAAACTATTATTGTACGTTTTACCAATGTTGAGTTATACCCAGTATATTAATTACTACCTCCCTCATTCACAGCCACATCTGGCTAATTCTTGTACAGATGTTGTTTCATATTTTATTGGTACGTTGTGGTCTGTTTGATTGATATATAAACTCAGTATGTTTGACATATAATGATTCATATCGCAGAGGCTGAGACTTGTGTTCTGGACTTAACTGGCTGGGCTAGGCGCTAAGCAGGGCGAATCAGACTCTGGGCTGCTCATACGGGTTTACGAGTCATTGGTCCTGTTGATAATTTACTGCCCTCTAATCGGCGGTCATAAGATATAACGGATACAAAATCAATATACTGATGTAAAAAGAATGTTAAAAGCTTATTCAAATTTCAAAGTTATATTACCGTTATCATAAGGTCATCAAATACTTTATACCTTTGTTTCAAGCGATCAAGGGAACCCATTATTATTGATAAATTTAAACCAGTAATGAATAGCTTACTTATGCTTACTGTGATACCAGTGCATTTGGATAAATTGATATCCTGTAAATTAGCGCAACTAGTTAAACAACGAAATGAATTTAAAGTACACAGACTACTATTACGTAAGTTGATATGACGCAGATACATTCGACGTCTTCTTGTAAGCCTAAATAAAAGTTCTTCTGTTAACCTATCAAAAAGAAGAAAGGAGAATATGTCAGTATATTACAAGTAACTTAATTTCAGGCATTTACAAATATGGCTGGGACTTGATAAGTTAATTAAGTTTATGAGATCTACTTATGGTCGGTATATATATATATATATATATATATATATAATAGTAAAATCATGATGTTGGAGTAACATTATGGTAACTGTCAGTTTTAAAACATTTTGTACATCAATTTAATTAACAAGTCATTTGTCGCTATGTATATAGTGGAACTAACCTTTGTGCTAGTTAGTCTCTATTATTGGTCCCTTTGATTCATTAAAAATATATTGTCAATTACATTTATTATACCCAAACAAAATATCTTGTTCATATTGACTAAATGTGTGAGTCGCATTTATGAATTTGTAAATGAAGTCACAGGGTTAAATGATGTAAAAGTGTTTGAAAATATTATAAACCACACCCAAAACTAAATATAATGAGTTCATGTTCGCGTAGGCTTGTATGTGCACACTACTGAAGAAGTCACAATTCCAGCAAGAACAGTTTTCCAATTCTCTATGATTCTCAACGATTTTGTCACCAATAAATGTTTATTGTGAAGATAACCTAACTTTTTAAACGATGAATTTAGTTCAATAATATCTAATAACATAGAGTCATAAAACTAATGATTAACTAAATTTTTATTGACACGATCACTATAGTGTGATTTTAAATACATACGTTCCTGCCATCCAGATATTTCAACAAGTTATCTATTTTTGTTTGTTTTAATATATCACTATGTTTATTAATCGCATAACCTATTCTGCTGCGTTTCTGAAAAGTGTACAACCTTTCGTTGTCAAGTTTACAAAAAGCTCAATAAGAGTCAATGTGGTTGCTGGCAATATACAACGAAAAGAATGCACATTATTCAGATGTTAATTTACTGAACTGCTAACATCTAACTGGCGATCACTCAATATTTATCGCCAGCACCGACCAAGAAGAAAGAAAAGGGAACTTGTTGAAATACTTTATGCTGAGAATTTTATATTGTACCAAAAATATAATATTGAATAAAGCTGAAAAATATATAATAGATATATATATATATACGTTATGGTTGACATAATAAGTTTACCTTTTACCAAAGCACGATAAATCCAAAGTATTTTTCTTATCCATTTCACTAACTACAGACCACCAATAATGAGATACACAAGCAGCTCGAGCTAAATCTATTGGTGTTAAGTAGCCAAATATCTAATCAAAGAAAAGCAAAGGAGAAATGAAATTTAATGAGTAAACTTTATTTTTGACTTTTGAATTTTTAGATCAAATATTATGAAGACAAAACTAAACTAAACTTCCTTATTGACATTTTGTGTAATTTACTTTATTCATAAATCAACAAATCTTAAAGCATCAATTACACACAGAAAGAGAATCTTAATTTTCAAATGAATGAAACAGAAATACATTTTTTAAATATTTCATACATTTAATGATAAGATTTTTTAACGAGTCTACAGTCGAGTAATTTTCAGAGATAAAGTCAGAATCCAAGTTCAAAATTGAATCTTGAGGGTATTCTTAAACGTACACCTATGTAAGTTCAAAATTAGAACAAAATATTATATCAGTAAATAATGCGATTTCCTCAGTACTTCAGAGTATTTTTGAACTCGTTCAGTGATCTGATAATTTTGATAATACAAAATCTTATCACTTTCTCATAATTAAGAGCGAAAAGATTACGGTAGTTTAATGGAACGGGATACAAATAAATTTTATAGAAGATTTTTAAAATGTTAAAAATATTACGTTTACATTATTTATTAGCGTTTAACATACAAAACCATATTTATAAGAGGTTGAACAATATCCATTATAAGGATCAAGTTTTAGATTTTAAATAGATGAAATTGTCCCCATAAGGCTTAAGGTACTCAAGTCTCTAGTTTAGTGTACATTACCATGTTGATTACATTTGGCGAAATAGTAGTAAGAATTAATTATATATATATTTTTGTTTTTCAAATGAGAAAATGTTTACAACCAACAGTCCAATATTTTATGTAATTTAATTTTTTTTAGAAAACGATTACTAACACACTTCTTCAATAAACATTGTAGTATGCAATTTATTATTAAAAATAAAAATGGATTAATAGGGATTTCAATGAAGTAAACCAGAATTATATCATGCGATTTGCGTCCATTGGTTGTATATGTATTACATCTAATCGTGGAAGTATTATTTACTTTTTTATAATTATATGACTTCAAATAATAGACACATCTATGAACACTTCTATATTTGTTGCCTCCTACTGAAAAATACTTCGTTATTTAAGTACGAACTATATTTGAAGAATAACTACAAGCTTCGAAAAAAGGTTACTACGAAAATTGAGTGAATAAGGACGAGACAGCAATTTTCATCGAATCATTTTAATTTACTATAAGTTTAATTTTATACCATTCAAGTTGAGTTAATATAGTGCACTCAATGTAAATTGGAACAATAATCCAGGTTGAAGAGTTGTGGTTAGATATGTAGATAAATACACTGACAATGTAACTAATTTGATTTAAACCGAAATGTATCCATATTTTATTATTCCACATTATTTAAATCTATTATACAGGAACGGCTAAACATACTTTATATTGTATGGTGTCAGGTAATTCAGAAAATCGGTCACGATAATTTTCAACATCGCTTATTTTGCCACCTAAAGTAAGTAGTTGATTTTCAGACTCTGAATCATCTGACTTTTCACCATCTGACTTTTCTTGCATTTTCTGCAGATAGAAAAGAAAAAAGTTGTAAAGTCATTAAAAATGAACAAATAGGAAAACATTAACATATTTGGACATCAAGAGTTCGTAGTTATTTCAGAAATATTTTAATGCCATTTTAGATTAGTCTGTATCTAATTTGTTAGTTTGTCAATTTAGATGTTTGGTGTGATACGGAATGTCTTATATCTAAGTAATTCATTTGTCGGTGAAAATACTCGGCTTTGCAGTCGAATAAAACAAAATATTTTGAAAGAAATATTAACATTCATTGTGTAACAGTGTCTTCGTTTATGCTGATAACTCAGTGTATTTTGTGATAATGTGATACAGACATTATATATTTCAAACTTCTACAGAATCCCAAGAATATTTTCTATTGATTGCTAGGCATGTTGACTTAAAATTAATTAGTTAATAATGAAAAATATAGCTTGAGCAGTACAAGTGATTCTTCTTCAAACAATCAATTAACAAAAACATTTACAAATAACTTGATAATCTTGTGGATACCATAATATCCGTTCATAATTCTTTTTAGTACTAAGATTTATCCGCAATTTGTTTGGCCATTTTCCCCCAAATGTGTGGGTGTCTGGATTTATTTAATTTAAAATAAACTATGGTTAGAGATAGAGAACAGTGTAACATTGAAACATTTTACCCTACTGTAATGTCAGTTCTAATTAGACGGCAATATATTCTTATTGAAGACACTAAATACGGTTATAGCAATATCTGCCATTACTAAATTCCTGGATCAAACCTATTATAATATCTATTACTTCATCATAGATCTATGGTACTGTTATATATATGTAAAACCAATATTGTCAACTAGTCTTACAAATGAAGGTCATTTGCTTGTACCAATAAAGATAATCAAATTTGTATTTACGAATGTTAAATACATACATTAACTTACTGAAAAATAATCCCTTGTTTTCCGAGCTTCTGCAACATTCCTCCGCCAGGCTTTAAAATATAACATTGTCACTGTGAAGTCTTTAATTTGTGTTATTAATGATTGTGCCACTTAACAATGTAGAAAGAAAATTATGATATTTTACTGTAATTATGAAATATCATGCATTTTTTTGTTAATTCAAATGGTATTTTGCCAGATAAATGAGAGCAGTAAAGTTTCGCAAAAATTCGAAGCTAATTTATCCCTAGAATCTTATTATTAATCTTTTTAATTTTTTTGTTAATTATCTTAATTTAATCAATATCTTTCCCTAACATCACTAAGCTCTGTTTAAATATTATTATTATTACTATTATTATTGTTATTATTACTCCTTATCAGTTTCTGTAGTCCAAATCAATGATCAAAATAGAAAGTCAAGCTCCAGCCAAATACCATCTTATAATTTAAAATATGAATTTACCTTTCTTATCAAAAATAAAATAAATCTCATTTATAAATATAGAAGTAAGTAGTATGCTATATACTTGTTAATAAGGTTGAAGGTTAAATGAAATTATTAGATCCATAATCAGAATAAATATGACCATTGTTGATTGACAGAAATAATAATGTACTCAGTAATAATAATAAATTTCCAATCAGACATTGTGTAGTATATGAGAAGATATGAATTCAAACCGATAACATTAGGAATACAATCAGTAATAAATAAACAGTTAAAATGGAAAAATGAAATAATCTTGATTTTGGAAAATAATGAATTAAGATAGAAATGATGAAATAATACATAATTTAATTACTTACTTTTTTGTTTACTTTTCACAAACTGTGTATATTCTTGCCATCCTCGAAATATAATCTTTTGCAATCTAAATTTCATGCTTATTTTTGCAATAAAGTTTATTTTGTACATATAATTCACTCGTGCTTTTTTAATTATAAAATGTAGTTTCCAGGCGCTTAAAAACAAATCGAAGAATTGTAAAATAGAACAAAAAATCTTGAATTTATTATGTGTGAATCTGGAATAATAAAGGTTGAAATGAACATAAGATAAAGCAATTGTCTTAGTGCCCCTTGGCTTTCAATGTATCTCTGAATCATAGTATCTCTTATTACACCACTAAGTAATCAGTTTTTGTCTGCTCATGAAAATCGCCATTTTAACCTTGTCAAGTACTTTATGACGTTTTTATGTGCTCTGTCATCCTTGATCATGCAAAAAGTACTCATGTACGTTTTATTAAGTACTCGTCTTATATGTGTCTGTCAACTAAACTCTTATTGGTTTTTTATAATTTACGTATTATTTACTTCATATAAAGATTGTTTCATCTAGTGATCATTGGCGTGATTATTTCTGTCCCTCTAATTCCCACTTACTTTTCTTGATCTGTTTGCTGAGTGGGATGTATAGAAGATATGCTTCACAAACACTATTGTTTCGACTTTTGATATCCAGTTGTTCTAAACCTGTTAAGCTGATAGAGTACATATGAACTTAAACAGAATTTATGTTTCATTCGTATCACCATCATTCGATCAAACTAAAGACAGACTCGGGTTCAGCAAACCAAACTCAGTCTATGATGTAAATCATAAGGTGAATGAACGCCACAGATCTCAAAAATGATGATCCAATGTATGATTTTCTTTTGTAATAAATTTTGGTTGTTCATGTTTAGAAGTATGCTCAAACTATAAGATTATTTCAATTACTAAACAATGAATAAACATTAAATCCATCACTTATTTACTTATATATGGTTAGATTGAGTGCATGAGAATTCTGGAACTGGTTAAATTAATATACGATTATGTCAGTATTTTATTGATTATTACAGTCAGAGAATCGAAAATCATTTTTAGAAATAAAAAAATCACAAGGTTCTAAAGTATTAATAGCATAAATTTTCATTTGTTACATAAAATATATGACGTAAGGTGACAAGCTGTATCCAAAATGTTCTGGAGATAGAAGTCAACCCATAGAAAAATTTACATGAGATTCCCAAACCGTATTTTTTGAAAATGAAAATTTCTATGTGCACTAAAATACTACGGTTAGCTTATAGATATATTTGATGCATTTTGTTGGATAGATTATCACTGCATCATGTATAGAGAAATTCATATTCGAAAATAATAGAGTATAATTTCAACCATTTTATCAGGAAATCATACATTATTAAAAATAGGTCATAAACAATGTTGGATACTTTCTGAATTTTGTGGTACATAGGGCTCATATGTTAAATTTACTGATCGAATGACACTGATGTGAAAAATTCGGATTTTATCAGTAGGGTAGGACTAACAGATAATCCTTTACTAACTAAACCATAAGTTTTCTTATTACGAATATATGTATGTGTGTAGTCCATTGGAAAGTGATTAGATTTTCATATCATCTTTTGAAAAGAATTTTAGTGGTTTTACATAGTAATAGCATGAATATCGTGTAACATGAATAAACTTTGAAAAGGGGAATTTTTTGAAATAATTTTTTGTTATAGACTAGGAACAATCATTAAAATCTATGAAGAACTAGATTTCGTCTGTTTTAGGTCAGAACGTTTAGACCATAGATAAAAAAGATGTAGAGCCCTCAGTTCTTGTGGTGAGCAAAGTCATTTTAAACAAATGAGTTGAAACTTAATGGTTTACTTTTCTTAATTTAATCAATTCACAGACTGCGTAATAATCGTTGGGTGTTATTAATGCTATACGTTTAACTTCCAATATTATTGTACCGCATCAGTCATAGCTTCTAATTAAAATCTTACAATATTATCTTAATCCATCCACGGTGGTATTCAATAGCCCCCTAACTACAATTATTGTAATTAGATTACAGAAAGATTCTAAGAATAATGTAAACCGATTACGGAGAGTCGTAGATATGTAAACTGTTATATAACTCACTAAAAAAACTTGTTGAATGATAATCATCAAGTTGTACATGAATGTTCTTCTTACATCACTGAAAACATTTATTTTGGACAAAAAATCTCTGACAGTAAGTTAACAGTTATATATATAGTGTGTTATTCTAACGTATTAACATCATAAATTGTGACAAAAAAATCAACTAAGTGGTTTCACGTATGTCATTGTGAGGGACGTTTTATGGAACAGAGAAAATATGTAATTACTCTGTAAGTTCTATTTAGGAAGATTTGAGACAAGTACTGAAAGACCGGAAAGGACATATCATCAAGATACCGATGAAAAGAGAGCTCGGTACGTGTGTAAACTACGGAGGAATCACACTACTATCAATACCATGAAAAACGTTTCAACGAAGTACTGTTAAATGAATGAAAAATCGATTAAACTCTCAGCTTCGAGATCAACTTTCCGGATTCCGTAAGGATCGGTCGTGCACAGACCAAACCGCGACACTACGGGTCACCGTTGAGTAACTAATTGAATGGAACTGGTCACTATACATCAACTTCCTTGACTATGATAAATTGTTTGATAACGTGAATAGGAAAACTTTATGGAAACCTCTTCAACAGTATGGTGTGTGGCTGAGAAAATCGTCTACATCACGGGGAATTCATATGATGGACTACACTGAAAAGCTGTGCATGGTGGACAGCTCACAGATGCATTCCAAGTGGAGATCGGTGTCAGATAAGACTGCTTACTTTCTCTCTTTTTATTTCTTCTGATGGTCAACGGGATTACGAAGATCTCCACATCTGAGGGACAGCACGAAATACAATGGATAACTTGGATGCAGCTAGACGATTTGAACTATACAGACGACCTAGCTATTCCATCCCATACACGACAACAAATGCAGATGAAGACAGTCAGTGTGGCGGTAGTCTCTGCACTAGTAAGCCTGAATATACACAAAGGAAAAAGCAAAATTCTCAAATACCTCACGGAGAACACCAACCTGATCACACTTGATGGATAAGTTCTAGAATGGGTGAAAAGTTTCACGTATCTGAGCATCATCATCGACGTACAAGGAGGAACTGGTGCATATGTGATGGCATAGATTTGCAAAGCGAGGGCGAAATTTCTACAGTTAAAGAGAATATGGAACTGAAAACAGCTGTTAACAAATATCAAAGTCAGGATCTCCAATGAGAACGTCAAGATAGTTCTACTGTACGGAGCTGGAATTTGTACAACTATTGCAACCATCATCAAAATGTACGGGTATTTATTAACAATTATGGACACAAGATACTCAATATCCGTTGACCAGATACCATCGACTACAGCTTAGTGTGAGAGAAAATAAACCAGCATCCAATTGAAGAGGAAATTAGGGAAAGACGCTGGAAATGGATCGGATATGTATTGTGGAAATCATAAAACTGCATCACGAGGCACGTGCCAATTTAGGATCCTGAAATAAAACAGAAAAGAGGAATGCCAAAGAACACACTGTATCGGGAAATGGAAACATACATGAAAAGTATGAGTAACAAATGGAAAGGATCGCCCATAAGAGAGTTCGATAGGAAATCATGTTTGGCCGCCCACGCTTTCCCAGGAGAGGTAACAGGCATGAGTAAATATGTAATTATCTGTGTAACTATCATATAGTTTAAAGTAAAACCTAAGACGCAGTTGAATGATGATCAAGAATTCTGAGTGATAGAATCTGTCAGAATAATAAACCGATAGAAAAAAAATTTAGATAATTTTGTAAAACGTTCATAGAAGTATCAGCGTGTTGTATTTAAGATTATGGTAACTAAAAAGATTTAAAACGTTCGTCTGGATACAGAAATATGGTATTAAATAATAACTAATCAAGCCCTGTTGACAAATTTCCTTGGATTTTATTACAACTTATATTGATTAAAACTATGTAGTTACTTTTCATTAAAATTCACTTTGTTAATATTCTAATTTGGTCAATCATTCAAATACTTCACAATTTGATAAATGTATTCAAATAAATTATAATGATCATTAAGTATGGCAAAAATCATATTTTTTGTAAACATTATATTGTTAATATATGTGAAGATAATAATAATAATAATCTCAGAGATTGAAATGTAAATAATTCCAACGTTTCGTCCAGCTAGCTTGTCTGGACTTCTTCAGGGTAATGATCGAAATAAAATATGATTTTCATATATATTGACTTCTTTATACTCGGCGCCCAATTTCTGTCAAACTATTCGTTTTAATCTTCACGAATATTCGTATAAATTATATTGTTGTATTTATTGTGAATGATCAAGATAAGGCTTTTGAAGTAAATTTGTTAACTTACTATCAGTCTATTATCCAGCACCTAAAAATATGCATGTTATTTATTCTCTGTATTCACGAGACATCTAAATTACTGATTTATTTAACTTGAATAAAGTGATTTAAATCATACGGATCATATAATAGAAGAATATGATGAAAAAGTATTATAAATTGGGTTATTTCATATCAGAGATTTAAAGTATTGAATAATCGCTTCCATTACACAAACTTTTTAACTGTATGATTCACATCATGTTGAAAAGAAATACTTATGAAAATGATGATATGATTTAAGCATAAAAACTAACCTGAAACACTTTTTTAGTATTGATTGCTTATGAGCAGCATAGGCTTTTGCTAACATTTCAGGTGTAGGCTTACATTAAATAGAAAAATTCAAAGTATAGTATGTTTAGTTGTATGTATATATACCACATTATTTTTAGATGAATCATAAAGTATACTAAAGTATACCAATCACCATGAAAAATTTATAAGTGTAAATTAGCAGTGAGTTTCCAAAAAATAAAATTAATGTTTAATATATTTTCGAGAACAAAGACGGTGTTTGTATTTATGTGATCACAGTCTGGTGATCTAAATTATACCATACATTTGTGGTATCTTTCACAGGTTCCAATTCCTAGAAGTGTGAAACTTAACCAGATTGCAAGTAAACTTGAAACAGCCTTTACGTGATGGAATTGACAGTAAAATTGCGATTATATGAAGGCAATCCTGTGATATAATGCTCACTGTATGATCCTAATAACCATGTTTCATTCGCTTATTGAGATATTAGCAAGTAGGCAGTGATGAATCACTTCAACTACTCAACGTTCTCTGAATTACAATAACTGTTCAGATTTTATTATTTTATCGTGGAAATCATTACCAAACTGTAAAATCCTCAATAAAAAGTACTTTCCAGTAGAATGACAAACTTTTTCGTTTAATATGAAGCTTTATTTTGAATAAATCTTTATCTGTTATTCTAATAAAATGATAAATAAATATCAAGGTAGAAAGGATAGTTAAAAATAGAAACTGACAGGTGAAAATGTTATTCTTCAAGACAGAGATAATTTTTATTCAACTTCGTAAGTTGACTTATTCGATTTGACAATTAAATTTTTTTATCAAAGTTCTTGTCATGATGATAACCAAAAACTTTATCAAAAGTTGAACCCTATCCAAAAAATATATTATTGCTTGTCTTTTTATTTAAAATTGAAATTTATTCCATTAAAATTCATAATCGATCTAGGCTAGACCGTCAATGAAAACCTGGAAGCATTGGGCAGGCGCTTCGTTCTAATTTAGGCAAATTTAAATCGGTTCAAGATTTCAATGAATTTCAACTATCTCCACAAGCTCATACATACAGAATCTATTCATTGGAAATATAGATAAATACAATGTTGATAAATCACTGTGTAGCTGAAAATTGTTGATTATTTTTTACATGAAATGTGATTGGCAAATTTCAAATTTTATATTTGACAAACTACACTAACAAGCACTTTTACTTCTCATATCCCATTTACTTAGCAGATATCAGATAACGTAAGAATGTTAAACGTAGTTTGTACCCAAGGAAGCTTTTAATTCAAGCATCTAAAAATGATGTTGTACTAAAGTAGATAATTAGAGCGGAATAAACTTACATCCATTCTAGCTGGGCGTGTTTTCTTAGAATATTAATGGTAAAAGTTATACAACATAAGAGTAGGCACATATTTTCTAAGTAAAGAGCAGAAATTGGCATCTTATTCATCAAAAAATATAAGAATAAAATGTATGATATATCTTTATTAAAAAAAGCTTTAACTTCATCAAGAAACGAGTTATTTATGTACTAGGACAAACTCTTATGGATCTGTGCTAAACACATTTAAAGATTTCGTTTCACTATCACTTGAGTCTTAATGGTGTCAACTTTTAGAGTTATTTAAAATGTCTAAATAACTTATTTGAATTCAGCAAGCGTATATGTTCCATGTTTCATAAGATTAATTGTAAGACTAACGAATCAAGTGTATATAAAATTCTCCTTTCGAAAAACAACATTTTGACAAATACAAAACTTACTTGATATTGTAATTCTTCTGGTAACAGCTTATTAAACAAACATAAAAAAAGAGTAAGTATGCAGTATATGAGATAAAAAGTTTAACAAAATGGATTTCCAAACTATTGCAATTCTTTTAATATAATGAATTTTCAAAAATATGGTTATCGACATTCAGTACTATTAACTGAGTTTGTTATTATCTCTGGTCTTTTGTACCAATACTACGAACAGACGTACCATAATTTACTCGCCTTCATAAAGTAAACATTAAAATAGCAACAATGTTGTGGTAACCTGTGTGTTGATAATCATTACTCAATATAATACAACAATATAAACCCTAGTATATACTAACTTTAAGAGAATGATGTGAAATGCTCGAGGAAGAGTAACTTAGTTTGCCACTTATATATATATATATATATATATATATATATATATATATATATATGCACATGTTCGATTATAAAACAAATTACTTCATTCCTTTTAGTGGTTGATTGTTAACAATTTTGAGTTTTAATAGTCGTGTTTTTATTTGAATTTAGGACTAATATTGACTCTGTTGCCGTGTTAACAGTATGTTCATTCATTTAAAAGGTAGTAGATGTACACTGCTGAAGAGTTTTAAAATGAAACGAAATGGATGTCCATTGTTTCTTCAAATAATATCAGTTGATGATAACGGTCATCGTTAACATAAAGAGGTGTATTTTTAAATATAAAGTTAATAAATTAGAGATTCAGTATAACTTACAAATTCTAGTTTTGATGTACCAAATAGGGAATGCATTAATTCATGATCGACATATGGATGAGAAGGTTTCATATCCGGATCAATAAATGTATCCCTTAATATTAAAGTTTAAAATGGTAGAAATATAATATGACATGGATGAAAATTTACGCAACAATGTTACATGTTTATAAATAAGTCTATTCAAATCCTCACTTTATTATATATTTTCTCACCTGTAACTAATTTTGACCCATAACCTCTAATAACTATTTTCATTAGTACAACAATTTGATGTAAGTAATCTCTGAGTATACCTATTACATCCCAATTATTAAAGATGATGAAGGTTCAAAATGCAATCAAGTGATTTACTAGCATTACTTATTACTATGAATCTACGCTATTTATTACTCATTCAAGTGCTAATGATAAATAGTTTTGTGATATCCAAATTACTAGAAAATTGTATTTTCGACAAAAATATATTTATTATTAACATTCTGCCCAACGCTTAATTTATTTGAAACTATCAAGTCCAGCCATGGTATCAATACCTACCAACTCATTCAACTGTTGTCAATATTATCAACTTAACACTAAATAATTAAAAGAGCAAGTATCTGATTTAAACTGAGAAAATCTACAAAGCATTTAAGAGTAATAATAGTCACCAATTTTTTGTTACATGGTTCAATCCCATTATAATTTAAATATTGGAAAAAAAGAACATATTCACCCACAAAACTGACATTATTAAAGATAAAACTGTCGAAAACTTTATTTGTTAGCCAGATAAAGCTTTGACAGCCGTAGAATTCTACTTGATATGCCAGTTTTCCACGTAAATCCAAGAATTCATACAAATAAATCAAAACACAAACATAGCCAAATTCAAATTTTTTTAAGAAAAATTTACTAAAGTGAAATACAACTTACCAGTTTAAACTCATAAAACCAATATCGTAAAGAAGTTGAAGTTTTTCTGCAATCCATTTACGAGGATTTTCTGGTAACATGACGCTTAAACCACTTAAAAGTGCCTTCAATAATAATCAATAACAACTATGAATAAACCACCAGAACATAGTAAGACAGTATTGTTGATTATGTATGCCTTTATAAAGAGTCATAAAGAATTTTGTTATTCATCTGATAAGTAAATAAATTATATAACACTGTCCACTACAATAATTTCATTATATCTTTTATAGTATTATTCAGTTGTACAAATATTAATGAAGACAACAAATGATAGTGAATACAAATGTTTTTATCTGTAATTGAACAATCAGAATACTGATATTTCCAGTGTTTGATCACGTAATCAAATTCTCATTAGCTTTAATATTAAGTTATTCATCACTTCAGTAATTTTAATGCACTAAACATGTTCATAGCTTTTATTGTTTACGATAGTAATCAGATAAGCATTTACTAAACACTCAACATAAAAACAACAGATGATGGAATGACTGACAACATTAAAAAGAAAGATGTATTTATAAATGGTTTATTATTAAATTACTAACTAAAATAAAATAAGGATATATATATATATATATATATATATATATATATATATATATATATAAAGAGAGAGAGATACATTGATAGTGAAAACTCTACCTTCTTTTTTAATCATTTCGCATGAGTTTTAGAAGTAACTAGATTAACCCATAGTGTCATAGAATAAGAAAAAGAGAATTCAGCGAAGAAAATTTTCTTTTCGACGAAATCATTTAATTAAGCTGTACATTTGTATATATAGTTATATGAAAAACATATATCTATAGAAGGATAGAATAGCTTGCATGATAAATTGATTTAAGGTGCTTATTTTTATCACTTAATGTTCAGCTCCAAGATTTCTCTTTTTTTACTAAAATATTTGCTATATAATATTGTAAATAAACTTTCGAACGATCATTTGCATATTTTTTTAAACTATTATTATAAACCTAGATCAACTTACACATAAACTACTTAATTTTATCTGAGTTTTTTTCAAATTATCAGCAATTTCATTTTTAAATTGTAGACAGATGATAAAGCTCTATAAAATATTGGAATATATATCTTTCTGAGATTTGTTTTATTCTGTATAATTTGAGAATTTATATTGGTGGCCACTTGTTGAAGTGTAAATATTATTGCAAACTCTACAAAATTCTGAAAGTCTACGTCACGATGTAACTTGACTTACATGGCGACTGAATCCTATGAAGTACTATAAAGTTTTGGCGTTCTATTTTAGGACTTGTCAATAATGAGGACCCTTAGTATGGTCTGGAGTAGGTAGAGGCATTTCAGATCTTGTGATGAGCAAGCTACGTTTGAGTAACTGACTTGGAACCCAATAGTTCTCATTTATGAAATTACTATTAAGAATTCATCGCTAAAATAATCAATTTCAAAGCATCCTAAAGACTTTCTGGAGGACAGAAGAACTCTTAAAGATACAAGACCACTTATTATAACAGGAATTAGAACTTTATTCTCCAGGAATATGAGAGTAATATAAAAATTCGTTTATCAGAAAATGTACTGAAATGTTCACAAGAAGATTAAGGAAGCTGATTTGGTCTTTATATTAAATTAGCTTCCATAAATATTAGAAACAACTTAAGCTAAGTTTGGTTAACATAGATATGTACTAACATGTTTAACCAATGTTCATCATCCTGCACTGGTTTCATAACGTTTAGGTCAAAAGGAGCAAAGCATTTAACCAACAAACACGACCTATCTATTTTATTCGATGCACCTAACAATCAACTGGTTTTTAGCCGAAAATTATTACCAACAAAATAATTCTTGGTCTATGTAACACTTACCATTTCGTCTATATGACTTTACTCTCGCTTTCAACTCTATGTAGACTGAAGAAAAGCTAATATATCTTTGGTGCAAATAGATCACTTATTGATTTATCACAATACAAGAAAAATTCTTAAGCTATACAAAAATATAATCTATTAAAACTTGAAGAGGTTTTCGGGAATTTCTTTAAAAATGTTTTTTGGTTAGAAATGCCTTGGTTGTTTAGGTTGAGACTTCTGAACAAAGTTTTTCAATTTAAAACTTGTGTATCTTAATTCAATTTGTTTTAACTAAATTATGTTTATCTACATTTTAAAGTAAATATTAAAAAGTTGCACGTTTACAAGAATAAGGTCATTTTTGAATATATTACTTAAATTGTACAAGAAAAAACGAAGCGTGTTTATTCCTTAGTCTCAACTGATCATATGAATGATAACTTTAAGTAAATTAATTGAAAGTTATGATTTATTTTGTATACACCATTAATCAATTTAGAAATTACAGGAGTGAAATGAATTCGTGTAGTATAACTAGCCTTCAGGCATATTGAATTTCAAGGCTGATTACATGAACCTTTAATGCGTTACATATTTGAATCAAATATTGAGGCAAGTTGACATAGTTCAGCCCTATCTGATTTTATAAGGAATATTTACAAAGTTTGGTCGTAATTTTGTTCATTGGATTAAACAGAATTTACACCTATTAAGTACGTTTTGGTAACATTTTCATCAATGATAACTATTTTAAATTATTAGACCATTTCTTTATACATCAAAAAATATCATTAATGCTAATAAAACGTTCTTACCTCAAAAATCTCATACAAATGATGTTTTCGTGTATATTTCAGTAGATTTGGGTCAGGTTTCCTAATGTAAATTTCTATTTGATCCTGTAATGTTGATTTTAATATAGACATATAAATTGTTTTTAGAAAAATTAAACTTTTTCCAAACTATTTTCTGAGTACATCATATAGAAAAAACAGAATTTTTTATAAGAAATCATGTATTTAACTTCTCTCTGCACAAATACATATATAATATTAAATTATTTAACAAAATTAAAACGTGGTAATGGATTTACAATAGCAGTCTCAATTTCTTCAAAAACAGTGTGAATATCTCTGTCTGCATGCACTTTAACCACACATGAATCATAGTATACGATAATGTCATCTCTGTTAGCTGTAAATCTTGATAGCTTTGGGCTTATAGCATCTTCTTCATCATTTGGACGCTGCAAAGCACGCTGACTAATGCATACATCTTCCATAGATTCGAATGCTGTATGAAAACATATACCTGTGATTGGATCAATTCTACGTCCAGAAAGTCGTTCAGATGCACAAGATTGATGTATATCCATTAGAATAACTCGGGTCGGGTATACTTTATGCGATGACAGTAGCTCTGCTTGTTGACGTGTACGAGGATATCCGACAAGTATCCAACCATATGTGATGCAATCAATTTTATTCAGTCTGTTTCTCACAACTTCTGAGACTATGGCATCTGGAACTAGGTTTTAACGGAATGGAAAATAGCAATATTTGGTATAATTACCACCAAAATATACAAACCCTAATTATAAAAGAAATGGTTATATACCACTCGAAAAATTGTTTATGTAACAAGCATAAAAGTAACAGTTATGACATGTTTAAACTCTTAACCATAATATATGCTGACACCATTGTATTTTGCATCAAATACTCTAAACAAAAAGGAATTTGAGTGACTTTTATTAAAAATACGTTAAAATTACCATCATAAATAAGTCTTTGCCAACGTTATTGAGCTCAGAGTAGTTCCAATCTATGGGTAATATATTAAACTGGAGACTTTTCATCATATGTTTAATGAAACCAGCAATTCAACAGTTCAATCATCGGTCGATCTTTAGATTATTTTAATGAATAAGAGTTTGTATAAGAAATAATACGTCTGATATACAAAAGACTGTACACAATAGAAAGAAAGACTTAACAATATACCTGGAATATTTTTTTGAACATAAGTTTTCATTATGTTCCCAACTGAAGAACGATTAGCTACTTCACGAAGTATAAGCTGCCCACAGTCCACTGGAATTAGTCCATACTTTTTAGCTAGCAAATGTGCTTGTGTATGTTTTCCAGCTCCAGGATAGCCTAATAAAACGACCTTAGGAGTTTGCAGAGCAACGCTGCGACGAGATTGGTTTACTTTTGCCAAAACGGAATGATATAAGTCATTGATTGGTTGATCTGCATTAAATTCATAAGCAACACTAGAATAAATTCTCTTCAGTAGAATCATTTGTCTGTTGTATTCGCTGTAAAGTTTTTTAATTAGTTCTTCATCATTTTCTGTAAGTTTTACCAAGCGCCTTTCAACTGCTAAATCAGCTGGGGGGTTATGTAATAAATTATATAAATCTGATGTAAATCTAAAATTAAGTATTATTTCTTATTCTCACCTCCATTATCAGGATCCATCCTTTCTCCTGATGCTCTTTCAATTAATGTAAGCAAGGGTGCATCCAGAAATACTACAAAGATCACTTCATAAAAGGTAATTATCACTTCATACTTGCATAATCAGGAAATATTCCTTCATTTATAAGTGCTTTAGCTTCTTTTTCACATCTTGGGAAGTCGACAATAATATAACCTCTTGATTCACAGTCAGATTCGTTAAGCCGTTTCTTCAAAGCAGCAATTAGTTTTTGGACTGAAGCATTCTATTAGGCAAAATCATAACACAGTTATAGCAGTCTAATTTTTCAAAGGTTATGTTACTTCAGATGCAGTAAATCCCGTTTAAAGATGAGTACGAAATAGAATAACCCATAAGTACTTGAAATGGCCATGAAAGAACTTATTTTGCGAAAATCGCTCGACCTAACTAACAAGTAAATAATTCACTTAGCACAAATTATTTAATATAACAACCGCAAAGACATTGGGAAAAAACCCATTTTTTCTTCAACAGTTTTGGAATTCATAGAAGTTATTGATAAACTTACGTTCCACTTACAAAGCAACATGTAGAAAAGTTTTTATTAGCAAACAAATGATGTGAATAAAAGAGCAAACTATTTATGGTTGCAATGACATAAAACGCCGAATTTGATTAACATTATGGTTGAAAGATAGTTCTATTGAGTTTGCTTCAATTTTTCACAGTGGAAAATTATTTTGTTGCATGGCAAACAGTTATAAAACTAACGTATATCTAGGTGTGTTGGAAAGAGTGTTAAAATTAAACGACAATATTAGAACACCCTCTAAACATTTTAGACGACCACAGTGAGTGTATAAGTTCAGATATGCATATAACCAAAATTAAGTTTCTTATTAAAGGTAAATTTCACGAGTGTGAATTCTTATTAAACTTAAAAACTACACGATATATATGCTCTACCAGGCGGTTAAAGAAACAAATGCTTTGAAAATTTTATTTGACGAAAACTGTAAAAATATTTTAATGTAACTGTAGTTTTAGTCAGACAGTGCTTGTTGTGGTGTTTGCACGAACTAATGGTTCCTTGGTACTTGATTGACCGCTGATCCCGAATTCCAAATGTAATGCGTTCATTTGTGCTTACCTAGTTCTACTTGCTGTAAATCGCACTATTTCGGAAATTCCTAGTTAGTACAGTAATACGAATACTTCTGATCAACATATTGACGTCACGATCGATACACATTCAGATTTTGAAGTTTACCAAGATTATATGAAGAGGTTTTTAATCTGGAGTATGACCAAGAAGCATGTTGAAGACAATACGATTGGGGCTCATTTCCTCACACTCATCGGACAGGGTACCTACAGCTTACTAGAAACTTTGGCTTTCTCAGGCAAGCCTGTTGTACTCCCTTGCGCAACTCTCAGAGAACTACTAATACTAAACCATGTTAAGTGTACTGATTTTGAATGCCGTGAAAGAGTAAAATTTCATAAAGTGATTCACCGGGACACCAATAATCCCAACACATTACTTAGTTATCCCAATTCAATGCGTGCTCAAGGTTTTAAAGATAACGATTGTTTGAGCAGCCACAAATCAGGTTACAGAGGTGAGCACGGGTTCGGTAAATGCTTATCCTGTAGTAAATTTTGCTCGCGTAATTCATGTGTGTTTTGATATGCCAAATCCTTCAAGTGTGGTAAAACGGGACGCATACAGTCAGTTTATAGAACTACTTCGTTTTGCCACTAGTGATTAAAAACTCTTTAGTTCGGATTTTATGATGTTTAGTGTTTCTAATGATCATTCATCTTTATTCGCAATCTCGGCAGATAACGGTTATATTCAAAAGCGATTGTATACCTCCCTTGATTCATTTGGTGAAATTATTATTGACACAGGCCGTAAAGTGTCATAGCTCAATTCATGATTAAATGAAGCCTTGTTAGCTTTGCATAACTCCGAAACTGAATTCCAACCAAATAAACTTGTGTTTCATGTGATACTGGTCGGGGAAGCTGGAGAGACCCGTACTCAGAAAATAATTGATTTCAGCACGACGAATACAGGTGTATTAAATGAAAGTCAGAAATTTTGTGAGATGAGGGTTTCTAATGAATCAACATTATCAGATTTTTCTTGTTATTTACCAGATATGGGCTGTCCTAATGATTCATATGATTTTGATTAAATTCTTATAAAAACGGGAAAAACATGTCGAGTGAATCAAATCATGATCCGAAATTTGATGCAATTTTGTTCAGCGCTGATTTTTCTAATGACACATTATTCTTCAAAAAGATTCTTAATAAATTTGAAGAGAATATTTCGGAGGAATCAAATCCTGATGATTTCATATCAAATGTTATTTGTCATCATAATTTATTTGTTTCTGGTGGAAAACTTGGTTAATGTGAAGCATAAGTTTTAAGTGAATTCAAACGTAACTACTGTTTGGATGATCTTATATCGAGTGTTGTTTTATTCTCAACATGAAGTCACTTCAAAGGAATCCTCAAGTCAGCGTGAGAAATACGTTTTAAATAAAGTCACGTTGTCTGTAATTTGGGTATACAAAGATCCAACGTGGAGGAGGACAGTGTTGGAAAATCTATGGCTTGAATTCCAGATATCAATGATTTAGAAACATACGACCGATATGTTAATCAAATAAACTTGCGGAAACCAAGTGAGTATATTTCGACTACGTTTGTTAATCCTAATACTAATGAGTATATTCTAAATCACCTAGAGTCTACATTTACCCATCTATACAAGAGCATTAAGGCTAATGTATGTAGTTGTAACAATCCTAACGAAAGGCACTGTTCACAAGAAATTAATTTTAAGGAAGTGTTCTGAATTCTAAACCAACTAAGTGAGCTGATGCACGTTATATGTGATTTAGACTGGAAAGTCATTATTTTTCTTCGTAGGAATTTTCCTAGAATTTCGGTTTGAAAAACAACTGTAACTGAGATTTCGCAAGAAACATTCATCAAGCCAAAATTGAATTGTCTCTAGGCCTTGTTGCGAAAGGTGTTTCATAATGCGAACGTCCTATAAGATTTATAACATTGATTTAACTGAAGCCAGATATTGTGGCTGTTGATTTCGCTTCGATTGTCGAAGTAACCTTAGACAGATAAAATTGAGTTTTTATTGTTTCGAATTCATACCAGCAGTTGAAAATAAGTTTTAAAATGATAAAAAAAGATTGGCTAACTTTCCCTTCCGGACATAAACTGTATATGTCGTCCCCATGAATCATTGTGCATTGCAGTTTCACTTGCAACATGGAACCCAGCAATCTCTTGCCTGAAGACTTTGGACCGAAAATGAAAATGGAAAGTACTAAAACTGTGTTTTAACTTCAGTAGAACTACCATCTCCGACATCTTTTTCCAGGTACCTAATTAGATATGATATAGGATCTCCGGGACGATTGATTATTAAAAGTTTAAGTAACCTCTGGAAAGTAAAAAGAGAAAACAATACTTGCATGAGCTCAAATATTGAATGTTTTTCAGCATAGTCCATATACTCTGAAGGAATTTGTGTACAGTTGGAAAGTGAACCCATTTTAAATATCCCTCGGAGGTTTTAAAACTATGACAACTAACGAAACCGAAAGAAACCTTCAAAGCACAAAGTGTATTGCGAATGACGACTTCAAACATTCGTGGATAGAAACCTAAATCTTTCAAAATGAAGAGTTAGTGACAAGATTTATTAGTAGATGTGGTAAAATAAAAGAAACGATATATGAAGTTTTAGATGGGTGTGGAGGCAGCGAAATTCTTAAGTGAAAATAAAAAGATGGTAAGATGGTTATCGGATACGTTTATTGAGGAGAAGATCTGTTCAGGAAATTCAGAGACGGATTGTGTTCTTGAACTGGTTTACTATAAGTATTATGAAAACAGATCGCATTTTGATGAATGGTGATCTGCAATGCATCGAAGCTATCAAGTAATAATACCACTGCAAATACACCACAGAAATTTCAGCTTGGATGAAAAATCAAGTCACATATAATAATTTTAATGCAATATAATCCATCCTAACCATACCCTCAATTTGTATATTGCTATTTGGACGAAAAGACAGTAAAATGATTTTTATTATTGAGTGATTTTGTTGATGGAAATAAAAGGTTGGGGAGGTGAATAAATTATTGAAAGAACTAGTTAAGCAAGCCTACTATATGCAAACTTTCTCTTATATATTACCACCTTTGACCTAACCACTGCTATGAATCCGGTGTTCATCTTGTTTTGCTGATGCGGTATGGCAACCTGGACCGATGCACATATGTGCCTGGTCCTACGTTGTAGCTGACTGACTGTTAAACAAAGAAGTTAAGACGAAATGTCAACTCAACGGTAAGTCCTGAATATTTGTTGCACTTCTTTCAGTTAGTTTTTTTTCAAGGAATAACGTTTTTCAATAATTAATGCGTGTTGTCTCTAGTGCTTCATGCTCAAGTGAAATTTCAGTGAACGTAAGCGAGCCGTTTCAACTTGAACTCAATTTTTCAAATTGTTCGCTAAAGCACACTAGAGACAAAGAATGCGCAGTGTCTCATATTCCGTTAAAGCTTGGTGACAGTTTGTGTTCTTTTGTACTACAAAGCTTGCTGGTATTCACTGGAGTAAGATGTTATACTGAAATGACTCAATGGCTTATAATCAAAAGATACCAACTCAGTCAAATCAGAAGTCAGAAATGAAGTGTTTCGAAAGTATATTCAGAAAGCCATCGATATATCAAGATGTGCTTGGTGTGAGCTGGCTTGTAGTGGCAAAACGTGTGTAAAAGTTGTACACACTCATGATCCGGTGTGAGTGCGTGACCGAGCGCTTTCAGCCAGGTGTGTTCAATAAGACTATTGAGGTCACTATTAACGTCAATGACCTACATAACCATTTATTTTGGGTTCTTATTAACCCTTACACTATGATAAATACAAAATTTACAATCGTGAAAAGTTCATCAGCATATTTATACCACTGATAAAAGAAAAACAACGTTTGGTGCAGAAAAAGAATTCTTGAATCCTCATGTTTATTCAAAGCTAAAATTACAACTGCAAAGAAATTATAGAAAACAGTATTCCTGTCACGTCTGAACGCCTTCATATATGCAGAGCCATATATTCTTTTCGTAAAGCAGACTACATGTATATTTACTAAATAATCTTTGATCACATCTAGTTATTAATGAGCTTTGATTTATATTTATCGACTTTTCAGTTCACGACATTTGACCACAATCTGTAGTTGCTGCACATTCTGGCCTCATTGAACCTGTATGCACAGTTTGTTTCGTAAGTGGAACGAATGTGTTGTGTTTATACTGAAGGCATGTGTTTGCTACCTTACATCGACTGCATTGTTTGAAATGATTAATTATAGAGTTTGCAGTTTGTTATTTGTTGGGCTTACCTCTAGCAATTAGTCTTCTGATGTATGTTAGAGGAATATAAGTACTTATATCTACGTCATAACGTCTGCACAGTTAGTTTATATGCTGCTGCAAAAGTAACTGTGAAAAATATCGAAGGATTTATGACATATATCTTCTTTCAAAGTTACACGGGAAATTGATTAGCCGTGCAGAAATGCGAACTTTTAATATCACATATAACTTGAACTTCTGACGGTTTTCCGTTTACTGTTAGACCAAATGTGCGCTGAAACGCAATAACACATGTATTTAAATCTTTTGTGCTTCAATAATTTACTGTCGACATGAATGTAATGGGTGAGAACTGCTTGGAAAAGGATAAAATTGATATTTCCCTACTTCTTGAAATCTACTCAGCGCATATTCAGTACTATCTCGCTTACGTTGACTGCTATATCTCTTGAAAATGAAGCACTATGAACAGCACCAAGTAGTTGTAAAACGAAATAAAAAAGGTAATCATTGCAATTATACGTTGCTAACTGCGGAAACTTACTAAAATTTAAGATAGAAAATCTAGTCTTAAGCTTTGAGGCAGCAATTATCAGTTGTTTGGCATTTCATATTCGATTTCGTGTAAAATAGTGATTTGATCAAACTTCTTACATTTAAAATTGTTAGTTTATTTTTATTCACATTAAGTCGCATTCTGGACCTCATCAAAATCTATACAATAGAGACGGGGTTGTGTGTAACGGTTCCTTTCCGAGACCAAATTACGGGGCAACTGTCAAGCCAGAGTATGGATTAAAAGAAAGAAAAGGATAGTCAATGATATTTACAATGATTTTGTGTTTTTACTGAAGCGACGGACTGACTGTGAAAACACCCTAATTCCTTGCAACTCGATGTGCAATCAACCAACACAGCGATTTAAATACGTATTGGCTGCTGCATGTGAGGGCACTCAAGTTAATCCGAGCAACAGCGGTCGAATATGATAGATGCCAACGATACTAGCATGCCGAACTTAAATATTTTACATCGTGACTACCAGTAAAGTAAATAAATTCAACATTCTGGAATGACTCTAATGAGAGATATAGATCTTATACAATCATTATATACTACAGACCTTGTTAACAGAAGTCAGACCCGTCAGTCAATTAACCATGCACAACATAAAACAGGGCAAATATGCGAACCATTCCAAGTCACTATTACTCATTAGAAAATCATGACGAATATCAAGTTCATAAAAGCAATTATTGTAATTGTAGTAATGTGTACAAAAATGATTAATCTAAGTTTATGATACGGACCAGTTTTGAAACCAGCCTGATTTTCTCTTGTTTGCAATCCACGAGTCTTTGTAAAGCAGCCGATAATTAATGAGGCTGGTATTTTAGATGCCATCTTAGTCAAACTAATCCCTCTATGGTTATCACAGGATGATTTTGACCCCTTCTTATTTATTGGGACCATCAGTGATTGGAACCAGTCAGATGGGATTAAATCTAAATCCCAGATTTTAGCTACAGTATTAGTCAACCTAATCGCTAAAATTGGACTGCCATTCTTAAAGACCTGTGTAGTTAATCCATCTGGAGCAGCTGCTCTTTCTCGTTTCAGATTAGCTATAGCCTTTTGAACTTCTGTGAAGTCGGGGGAGGGCATCTTTCACAATGTCTGGACTGAGAGCAGACGAGTGTCAACTTTTTTTAGCTAACTGCCCCTAAAAGTGTTCCGTTTATCATTCTAAACGCCTGGACTGAAAGTAGATAAGAGCGTCATCCTTTTCCGAGATCGTTTCATCAAACTTGGCTTCTTAATTCAGGTTTCTTTTATTAGTCTGTAAAGGTGTCTGGTATAACCTTCAACCACCGCCCCCCCCCATCTTTCTTGATTTGGCTGCCCACTCGTGCTCACGATCGTTCCGTAGACTCTTAGTTAACCTCGATCTGATTTGTTTTCTTTCTTCTTTATATTCGGAGCCAGACGGAATAATTCTATGAGTCTATCGGTCCAATAGATGTAGCAGAAATCGACTTGTTTTTCCTATTTCTTTTGTTCACATTCTTAATTGATGTCGCTGCTGTTTCTGGTCGCTGACTTTAAACAAAGGCATGCTCATATTAGAGCATTACCATAGTCTAGACACGACCGAGAGGCAGTCTTTTATCGAACGATGACTGATGGCGATATTTTCCATTTTGGTCCATCGTTGGTTTGGTGAATCCACGATGATGTCATAAGGTCAATTAAGAGAGAACACAACTTCTCAATCCTTCCTGTAAGATGATAGGAATATCACCCTATTTTTATAATCTTAACGATAAACAATGCTTCTCTCGTACTCATCAATTCGAGAATGTAATTATCTTCATAATCTGTAATGTGAATGAATCTTACAACATAAAGCATCTCACGTTCGTCAGTGACCTCTGAATCTGTTTAAAACAATGCGAACGTCCATGTTTCCACAACGAATTGAAAAGCATGGAAAAAGGGCACAGCGTTTCCATTAATTTCAATGTCCCATAGTAATAGTCAAATGTGTCGAAGCATTAAATGCTAATTTGAAGGATAGTTCGTGATCATTAAAATCAAAGTTCAGACACCACATTTTTTGTATGATGATTTACAACTATATGAGTATGACAAAACCAATAGAACCTCGTGAAGTCTGCATCAGAGCTGAAGTTACATAAAGTATAATTGTGTACAGGTGGACAAAATGATAAGACAATTGAATCTCTCTTTATGAAAAACCATCTGGTGACCAGAGAAAGTAATACCAGCATAAGTGTAGTAGAAAATATGACAAAGAGACCTGCAGCGCTATGCAGTCCAGCAAGTACAAGTGAATCTACAACAAACAATTTGAAAGAAACGGTTTTACTTAGCTTTGTTTTACCTCCCTTGATCTTTTAAATTGCTGTGGTCATATGATTAAGTTGTCTTGTATACTCATATGAGCATAACTAAAACTGAGCTTGAAGCCTTTCTTCAATAAAAGGGATTCCTATGCATGAATAGACATATTACCAATTTACACTTTCAATGTCCATGCTGAGAGATTTATCTGATATGTGAAGGAGTCAAAATCACTAGTGACAGCTGAAAAAAAGTAGTTACTGCATCCTTGTTTTTCATTTACGTTTAAATAAACC